AGGTACCTGGGGGGTTAGGGTAAGGTTTAGGGTTTAGGGTTTTAGGGCTTGGGTAGTGAGCCAGAGTGCCAGGCTGGGGCCTATCCCACAACCTGCGCTGCCTTGGAGCTGATCCGTGCATTGCTAGAGGCCAGGGACGGGGGGAATTTTGGAAGTGGTAGGGCTTGGTTCAGGGTTGGGTTTTTTCGGTTTGTTGTTTTACCGGGCTTGTCGTGTGGGATTATATGCGAGATGCGTGTGTCTCTGGCTGAAGATTCGGGGTTGCCTTAATGTAGGGGCCTTCATAATCCGAATAGGGTTTAGGGGTATCTTATACGATGGTTATAATAAGGAACCCCCAAAACGGCCTATTCTAATTCCTAAGGCCCCTACATCATCCCTTTTCCTAAACTCTATACGCTGCACCCGGATCATCTCCCTAAGCCCTAGCCCCTTTGGGTGTTGAAGTTGCGGGCTCTATAGGCGCTTGTGTTGTTATCTTGCTATTCTTTAGGGCTCCGTGAAACCACTGATCGAACACGTAGCCCAAAGCCCTTTCCCGGTACTTACTGATCGTCGCAATCTCATGCGCAGATGCCCTAGATTTACCCGTACAGATTTTGGATTTCTGATCTCAAAATACGGTTTAATATGCTTCCACTTCTGCAATCCATTTGGAGCGAGTTGTAGGTATTCTCTCTACACTCTCGTACACAGGCTCTGAGGATGCCTTTGTCGTCATTTGTCTCGCTCGTCGTCGACAGGCTTTCGCCCGTATCAGCCCAAAACCCTTTCCTAGTTGTTGAGTCCCCTATATCCTGCAGCCTCTATTATGGAACCTACAGCAAAACCTCAACGTAACCCTGAGGAGGGAGCTCAAAAGATCAGGTTCTACAGCCCTCGGAGTATTTAATGTGCACTTCAAGCGAAGGAGTGTTGTCCTCAAACCCTAAACCCTAAACCTAAACCCGCCTTTAGGGTGAAGAGGCTGGGAAGCCGCGCTGAATCGCGCTACGTAAACTCTACATCCACATAGCCACAGGTCCCTTTGTGAGGGCTAAGGACCCTGCTATCTCAGGTCTGTATGAGCCGTCACCCGTTTCGGGGAAGATCCCACAATGGTTGAGAATTTAAGGTCACTGTTGGACGTCTCTTGCTCTAAGTGACCCATGATAATATCTGTATAATATTTAGCTCTAATATAACTTATATAAATATCATCTATATATTTCAACAGGAAGGGTTGAGAACAGCGAGGTGCTTTGCGTAATCTTAGAGCCGATCTGCCCGCAAGCTGCCCCAATGACGACTGCCATGCCAGGCGTGTCCTGTTGAGCTGTTGGTTCTCCCATGGGCGGCGGGCACAGAAGAGCTGGAATCTTGTAGTAGTTAACCCTAAACCCTAAACCCTAAACCCTAAACCCTAAACCCTAAACTGCCCCAAACGCTCCAAATCCAAAGAGCCCTAAACCCCAAACCCGAGAGGGTTCAGGACCCAGAACGATCCTAAGGTGCTTTGGGGTGTAGGGAGTCCAAAGGTTTGCGGACCCATGTTTTCGGCGTCAGGGCATCGCCAGGGCTACGAAGTTTAGCCCCCAAACCCCTTTCAAGAGCGCCCCACGCTTTAGGGTTTAGGGGTTTAGATTAGGGTTTAGGGTTTAGATTCGGGTTTAGGGGTTTAGATTAGGGTTTAGGAGTTTAAATTAGGGTTTAGGGTTTAGGGTGCAAAAACAACTTCATGCCGCCTTCTTATCAACTCCGAAAACCCGATAGCCCTAAAGCCCGAAACTCTGAACCACGAGCTTCCAACCCGTGAGATCCGAATGTCCGAAACACACTCCGTAAAATTTAAAAGGGCTTGCAATCTACCTTTGCAGGGGGCTCTTTCACACAATTCAATCCCACAGGTACACTACCATTATGGAATTGGGCCCCAAAAGAGCATCATTCCATCGTCCATAATAGTATATAGTATATTTGGACCCTCTAAGAAATTGATCATGAGAATAGCCAGCAGTGCGTTTGATGTTTCCCTTACTGGACTCTCAAGAGGCTGTGCTAATATAGGGGCCCTAATAGTTAGAATAGGGTTTGGGGGCCCACTATACTATACAGATAATAAGGAACCACCCAGAATGGTATTGGTAATTGTTAAGGCGCCTATATTAGAAGCTAATCCTGCATTCCTCATAATAAGGAATATACCATAATTCCCATAGTTTAGGGTTCTAAACCCTTGACCCCAAACCCTAAACCCAAAGCCCTAAACCCTAAACCTGAACCCCCAAACCCCTAAACCCCTAAA